TCCTCGAGAGCCTGACGAAGCTGATCTTCGGTATATTGAGGCATTATATATAGAAGAAGACATGTGCAAAAGATGAGCCCATTTGGACGCGAATTGAAAATGTTGTGATAAAAGGAGGTTGGGGGTGGGCATTGGGTTGTGGTGGATTTTCGCGTTTTTGTGGGTGCCAGAAACAGGGGGGTGCCAGGAAGTGGGTATGTTGACTTACTGAATAGATGGGTTGACCTCACGCACGCTGGCCACGACAGTAAACCACTGACTTCCAAGCTGAAATTGAATCATAAAATGGGCTCATCGAGAAATCTAGAGCATTGGCTGATCGTGGTCAGAAGCATTGATTGGTGCCCAGAACCCAAGTGTCCACATCTCTTTTGTCTTGTGTGCCATCCAAACGTCCTCACCGACTTTGATCAGTTCGTGATGATCTCAAAGCGAAATCGCATCAGCGGAAGGGAGAGAGCAAGATGCATAGCAGATTTCAGGAGCTGAGTTGAGCAGGGGTACACGCAGTCTACTCAAAGTGTACAAAAGCCGGCAAGATTCCCACTTCAATTCTAATCTTCATCTCGACACAACACTCAGTTCCAATTCCTCTCTCACAATTCATTCAAAAGAAACTTTTATCTGGTTCTTTCTTCAAAGACTCTTAAAATGGCCTCTGACAAGACTTCCCAGCTCTTCTGGCTCCAGTACGGCGATGCCATCCGACAGAAGGTCGGAGTTGGAAGCGGCGACAAGATCTTCTTCCTGGCAACCGAAACCCAGAAGGGTCCTCTGGCTGGCAATAACGTCCCTGACGCTTACACCGCCCAGGGGTTGTACAACATCGGTAACAACTTGTTGTCCACCAACAACGTCTTCTACAGCCCTTCTGCTTTCCATGGGTACGACGAGGCAATCGGCCGGTGAGTGTGACTTCACATCCTGTGAGGATGTCATCCGTGCTAAGACCATGTCATAGCTACCTGACCTGGGTAGAGCTGGTAAGAGAAGCCCTCTGCTGCAACATGAGATTTTGGCTAACGAACCATAGGGAGGAAAATCCAACCCTGCTTTGGATTCCGCTTACCTGGATGCCGTGAAGAATCAGGCCGCCTTCCAGAAGTCCTTTGACAACGAACAAGACAGCGCCCACGCGCGATGGAGGAAAGACACTGACTACGGCTTGACCGATAAGTCATTCAAGGTCTGGGTCGAGAGCGGCAAAGCTCCCGCTTGGCAGGCTGCGAAGGACCGCGTCGACAGCATCTCCCAGACGATTACCAATCTTCAGTTGCAACAGGATGGCCCCATGTCTGTCATCGTCAAGGAAGATAGAGACAGACTCCGCAAGGGCAAGAACGAGGATACGGACTTTGACGGGTATGTTTCCTTGCCGGACTGATGACTACGTCATGATTTTGACACCGATTGTGAACTCACGCTCAAAAAGATACAACATGCATGCTGCAAGCGGCAATGTTCTCAGCACTGCAGAGCTCACCCGGAAATTTCTCTCGGGCGAGACGATCCCTGAACCCCCTTTCCACCGCCGGCCTCTGTACGAAGCCGGATCCTACAAGCAATTCGTGCAGGATGCCATGCAGAAGGCTACCAGCAGCGACTACAGCTCACCCCAGAGGATCGACGTCAACATCGACACTGGGAAGACCACGGCCGACTACAACTTTGGACAGACAAAGGGCGGCGCCAACGTTGGTGTCAGTAACGGTTGGTTCTCTTTCAACGCCGGCGCCAGCCACTCTTCAGAGTCCAGCACCCTGCAGCTTGGCTCCGAATCTTCCCAAGTCCAGGTTGCCATCACCTACAACGACCTACAAGCCATTACCATCACCACTGGCGCATGGTACGTAATGTCTCCCTCCATCCAGGAACCTAGCTAACATTACTCCTCAACCAGGAACGTGGATGTAAGCAAGTACAAGCTCCGCTCCGATGCACCCCAGGAAGTCAAGAGTCTCGCCAGAGTAAGCCAGATCATCGTCATCGCCGGCCTAGGCTACGAGATCAAGGTCGGCGCCTCGACCGCCGAGATCCTCGACACCAAGCTCAAGCAGACCACGAGCGCCGGGGGCAGCATCAGCGTCTTTGGCATCCCCATCGGTCTGGGCGGCAGCGGCAGCAGCACGAAGGAGAACCAGACGCACAAGACGAGCTGGGACAAGGCCAGCCGCACCTTCAAGGTCGTCCCCAACTTTGACAACAACTGCGCCACCGTCGTCGGTGTCGTCGCCGAGCCGTTCCAGATCAAGGCGTAGAGGTATTCTTTCCGAGGTATTTGAGAATGAGTTTATGAATGATACGAGATATGCTAGGTTTGATGTGGGTTGAGGCTGTTGTAACAGAGGGTTTTGCTTCGTCCGACGATTTTTTCCCCTGCTGGGCCTGGAGATTTCATTATAGCATTACATAGATTTAGACAATTAGACATCTTTACACCTATTTGTTCTGTGCTTGCTGGCCAAATTTGCCATACAGGGGAGGTCATGATAAGAAAACAAAAGAGGCACAACAACACAACTCAAACACGCGACCTCTCACCATTCTAGCGACCAAGCACCAATACATATTTGCATACACATCACATATTCGCCAAACATCTGCTTCCCACCAAACCTACCGCACCGAAAAATGCATAAAAAAAACAAGCTATCCATGGCATTATGTAAGGCCGTGAGCCAACACACAACTCGCTTCTTGGAAGCTGGAATTGTACCGCTCGGCCATCGACTACAACGGACGGTGCTTGTTGACAACCACTTTTCACTTTCCCTCCCTATCAGGGTTCGACACATCTCTGATTTCAAAACTCGATTGATGTTTTATCAGCATCCCACCATACACTAACATATTTTGACAACCCCAACGCCTGTTGAATCTGTGTACCACAACGACCTCTCACGATGCACCTAAACCCCCCTCACATCCCAGCAGCAAGAGTATACCCCCCATCAACAGCAAGCGTCTGCCCATTCAGATACTGATTACACGCAAAAAACAGCACCGTAGACGCCATATCCTCATCCCTCCCAGGCCGTCCCGCAATAACCTTATCAGCATATTTCTCCTTTGGGATCTCGCTCTTCTGCTCCTCATCAGCCGGCTCCTTGGTCGTCATCTCACTGGGGAAAACACCAGGCGCGATACTGTTCACGCGAATCTTCAACCCATTGGACGCAATCTCCTCGGCGAGCATGCGGTTCACGTGGATCGTCGCCGCCTTGGACGCGTTATACGAGAAGTGGTGCTGCGATTTCTTAATCATGCCGCTGATGCTGCTGATGTTGATGACGGTGCCGGACCAGCCGTGTTGTTTGTCTGTGGATTTCTGCAGGAGGGGGAGGAAGCTCGCGGCGACGTAGAAGACGGCCGCGACGTTTGTGCGGTAGGTCTCGGTCCAGTCCTCGAAGTCGGCGGAGGCGTCGTCGAAGAGGCTTGCTTTCATGTCCTGCGCGGAGTCGCTCTCGACTTCGAAGGCGGCGCTGGAGACGCCGGCGTTGTTGACGAGGATGTCGAGGGCGGGTTCCTTTGATTCGATTTCCTTGTAGAGTTTGTCAATGTCGGATTTCTTGGTGACGTCTGCGACGATGGGGACGATGGAGCCGGGGACGTTTTGGCCGTAGGTTTGGACGGTGTTGTCGAGCTTGGATTGGTTGCGGGAGGTGATGTAGACTTTTGCGCCGTTGGAGGCGAGGGCTTGGGTTGCCATTAGGCCTATGCCTGTGCCGCCGCCTGGAGGGGGTTAGACCACGGTCTCGGGGGATGAGGGAGAGGAAGTATCGTACCCGTGACGAGAGCGACTTTGCCAGTGAGGTCAAAGAGGTGGTTGCGGGTGAAGAGCTTGTTGCCCTCGGGGCCGGATGTCTTTTGGCCAGTAGACATTTTGGCTTGTTGGATGGGGTGTTTGCGGGATGTGATGTGGATCGTGGGTGTGGTGTTGGGAGAAAAGATTGTTGCGTGTGCTCGCGTGATGAGTGAGGTGGAAATACTCAATCTAGCTGTGTTGACGGCGTGAGGGAGCACAAGAAGAGGTGAAGTTGAGGGCAGAAGGCGGCGGCTATATAATCCTCGTACTGAGGTGACGACTGGATGGGAAAGTACACGGGATGATCTCATCGTTATCTAACAAATCGAGACTAGATGCAGAAGGCGCCAATTGAAGCGTGGGAGACACGGAAGAGGCTGTCGTGTCATCTTAAACACAATGCAATGCACGCGCGGGAGCAACTGCAGCAAGCCCCAAGCGGTGCTGTCAAGGGAAATAGCCCTGCCATCGAGATTCTACGGTCAGACTTACACACGTAAAATTCTCGTCAGGTAAGGCTGGCAGCGAATTAGTGTCCGCCATGGGGATGGTACACGAGCGGATGAGGTCAGTGAAGCCTCCATGACGACACCCACATGCAGTCAACCCCTGGGCCCGCGGAGGGAAAGATCCGGCGAGAGCTCCGGGCGCGGGGGAACTGGAGCTATGGCGGGGCACATGGCATGAGGTAAGCCGACTGCCCCGCCAGTTTGACAATCTAGACTACACAACCTCACCGACTACACCTCACATCACCTTGCTCACCTTGCCTTCCTCACCTTGCCTTATCTTGCATTGAGCCTCAACTAATCACACCAAAGCAACACTAACAAAGACACACCCCACTGACGGCACGTAGAAATAGCCTAACCATCATGTGCATAGGAAGAAGCCATCCTGGGTATTTATTCATACAAAACTAATACAATCACGCCCTGATTATCCTCACCTCACAGTGATGTGCTGAATAGCACTCTTCCACTTTTGCTCATCGCTCCTGTGAATCTCATGTTAGCAAATACATCCCTCATCTCCACATCAAAAGGGAGACCAAAACTTACTTGTCAAACTTGAGAATCCTCCCCAGAACAGGCACAAGCTGCTCCCGCAACTTATTATCCTTCTGCTCCAAAAACTGCAACATAATCGTCTTAAGATACAACGTATCCGCAGACCCTCCCGCACCTCCAGCCGCAGGCCCACCATTCAGCCCAGACCGATTCGAGTCCATCGAACTCCGACCGCTTGTGACACTCGCCCCAAGCTTGGTCTGCACCGTCTTGAGCTCCTTATTCACCTTGTCAAACCTCTGCTTCGACTCCTCAAGCAACCTCCTCAAATCAGACTTTTGCCTCTCGGCGTCCCGAACCTGCTGCTCCGACGCGTCCAGCGTCGTCCGCAGATCCGAAACAGCAGACCGCATCTCCTTAACCTCCGCTTCGGCCTTCTCTTCCACGGATTCGAGCTCCTCCCGCCTCCGCCTCCACTCCCTCTCCCGGCTCTCCAGCTCCTCCTTCTCCGTCGAAAGCGTCTTGATATCCCGCTCCAGGTCGCGAATCTTTTGCTTCAGCTCCTCCGTCTCCCTCGTCTTGCGGCGCGCGAGCGTGCTCGATTCGTCCTCCATCCGGTCCCGCTCCTCAATCGCAGCCTCCATCCGCGCCCGCATTTCCCGCACTTTACTATCGGCGCGCTCGTCCACGTCAGCAAGGAGCCCCCGCATCCGCTCCGCCTCACGCGATCGCTCCGAAAGATGCTTCTGGATCTCGGCCAGCTCCTCCTCAAGCGACTCGGACTGCGAACGCGCTTCCTTGAGCTGTATCGTCAGCTCGCCTGTCTGGTCGCGCATGCTGCCCAGTAGACCCTGCGCGTTCGAATACTGCTGCGTCTTGAGATCCGCCTCCTCCTGAAGAGACTTCTTCTCCTTTTCGAGCTTCTCGATTTGCTCTTCGAGCTCCTTGACCTTGGGCCGGAGTTTGTTGGCGTCTTCCTGCACCCGCTGGAGCTCCCGGGCCGTCTTCTCCTCCTTGGCGGCGAGCTCGACCTTTTCGGCTTCGGAGCGACGCAAGTCACGCGCAGACACCCGCTGGGCATCCTCGAGACGGAGCTTGTTGTTCGTCTCGGCCTCAACCTTGCCGCGGAGCGCCTTGATCTCGGTCTCGCGGTCCGACGCCAGGCGCTGCGCCCTCGTCACTTCCGCTTTGAGATCCTTCTCCTTCTTCTCGAGGTTACGCAGCTCCGCATTCTTCGCGGTAAGCTCCTCCTTGGTCGTCTTGAGCGCAGCAGAGTCCTGACGCAGGCTCTTCATCTCAGGCTGCGCCTTTTGCAGTACCTCGCGTAGGTCGGTGAGGTCCTTGTATCTGCTTTGCGCCAGCTGTTGCGCGGCGCCGAGGTCAGACTGCAATGTCGAAGACTTGCTCTTGAGATCCTCGTATTCGCGCTGGAGGTTATCAAATTCGCTTTGGAGCTTCTCCGTCGCCTTGGCGTCGTTTGCCGAAGACCCAAGCTCCTTCTCAAGCTCCTCGATCCGCGTCTGCAGAGCCTTCTTCTCAGCCTCAAGGTTCTTGATCTTCTCTTTAGCCACAACATGCTCCTGGCCAATTTCGGTGACCTCGTCACGGAGCGTCTCAATTTCCTCGCGAAGATCCTCCTCGGTCTTGCGCTGCTTCGTCAGTCTCTCGATCTGGGAGTCCTTGGTGGTGACTTCCTCCTTGAGACGAGTAATCTCCGCTTCCAGAGCATCCGTGTCAACATCCTTGGCCTCCTCAGCTGCGGGCGGTGTCGCGGTTCCTGCGGTCGTAGTGGGCGTGGCAGGCATGGCAGCGGTGGCGGCAGCGGCACCGCCCTTGCCCTTCTTCTTCTTGTTCTTCTTGGCGTTCTTTGAAGTACCGGCAGCACCTCCAGCTGCGGGCGTGTCGGTCGGCCCAGTTGTTGTTGGGGTAGCGGGTACGGATTCGCTCGCCTGCTTCTCAAGCTGCTTAGTAAGGTCATCGATCTTCTTCTCGTTGTCAGCCTTCTCCTTCTTCAAGGTCTCGATCTGGCCGTTGAGAGTCTTGATATTCTTCTCCACGTCCGTCTTGGCGGCCTCCACCTCCTTGACACGAGCTTCCTCCTTGTCTGCGCGTGCATTGGACTGTGTAAGTTTCGACTGTGCCTCCTTTGCGTTCTTTTTGGCAGAATCGACTTCGCCCTTGAGCTTGGCCTCGACCTCCTTGAGCTGCTTCTGCGAGGCTTCCAGACGTTCAGTGAGAGACTTGATCTCGTTGTTTCTTGCCTCGAGCTGCGTCTCCAGAGAAGTCTTGACGGCAGCCACATCGCGCAGCTCACCAGCCTCCTTGGTCACCTTGTCGAGATTCTCCGTCAGATCGGCACTGGATTCCTTGGCGGCGGCGAGTTCGGCCTTGAGCGAGTCGACCTCTGTCTTGAGCTCCGCCTTGACGCTCTCAACCTGCGCCT